GTTTGTATTTTGAGGCTATTATGAATGGAGTAGTTTTTCTAATTTCTCTTTCAGTGGATTCATTGCTGATGTATAGGAATGCATTTATTTATGGGTGTTGATTTTATATCTTGTTACTTTGCTGAATTCATTTATTAGTTCTAGAAGTTTTCTGGTGGTATTTTTTGGATCTTGTAGGTACAGGATCATGTCATTGCAAATAGTGATAGTTTGAGTTTTTCTTTACCTATTTGTATCCCCTTAATTGCTCTGGCTAGAGTTTCAAGGATGATATTGAATAGAAATGGTGAAAGGGGATATCCTTGTCTTATTCCAGTTTTTAGCAGGAATGCTTTCAATTTTTCTCCCTTTAGAATGATGCTGGCCTTTGGTTTAGCATATATAGCTTTTACAATGTCGAGGTATGTTCCTGCTGTCCCTAGTTTTTATATTGTTTTGAACATGAAGGTGTGCTGTATTTTGTTGTATGCTTTTTCTGCATCTATTGAGATGATCACATGATTCTTGTTTGTAAGTCTATAATATGATGAATTACGTTTATTGATTTCTGTATATGAACCAACCCTGCATGCCTGGAATGAATCTCACTTGATCGTGATGCAATATCTTTTTAATATGTTTTTGTATGCAATTTGCCAGAATTTTATTGAGTATTTTTTCATCTGTGTTCATCAGGGATATTGGTCTGAAGTTTTCTTTCCTTGAATTGTCTTTGTCTGGTTTTGGTATTGGTGATATTAGCCTCATAGAATAAATTTGGAAGGGTTCTCTCCTTTTCTATTTTATGGAATACTTTGAGGAGTATTGGTGTTAATTCGTCTTTGAAAATCTTGTAGAATTCGGCTGAGAATACATTTGGTCCTGGGCTTTTCTTGGTTGGTAGGCTTTTGATGGTGTTTTCTATTTCATGATTTGAAAGTGATCTGTTTAAATCATGTATGACCTCCTCATTCAGTTTGAGTAGGTCATATGTTTCTAGAAATTTGTCGATGTCTTTGATATTTTCTATTTTATCAGAGTGTAAATTTTCAAAATAGTCTAATTATCCTCTGTATTTCAAGCATGTTCTTTGTGATATTTCCTTTTTCGTCTTGTATTTCAGTAATTTGAGTTTTCTCTTCATTTATTATTTCAAATTTTGCTGCTTTTATTTCTTTGCCTTATATAATTGCCTTGACTAGAACCTCCAGTACAGTGTTGAATAGAAATGTTTTACAGCAGGGGCTGGGGATGTGGCTCAAGCGGTAGCGCGCTCAGCTGGCATGCATGCGGCCCTGTTTCTATCCTCAGCACCACATACAAACAAAGATGTGGTATCTGCCAAAAAGCTAAAAAAATATATATATATATTAAAAAAAATTCTCTCTCTCTCTTTAAAAAAAAAAAAGAAATGGTTTAGAGCAGACATTCTTGTCTTGTTCCTGTTGTTAGTTGAAAACTTTTAGCTTGTTGACATTAAGATCATGTTAGCTGTGTGTGTTTTTTGCTTGGTTTTTTTTTTCTGTAAACACTTTTATAAAAATGAGGAAATCTCCTTCTATTCTTCGTTTGTTGGGAATTTTTGTCATGAAAGTATGCTGAATTTTGTCAAATAGTTTTTCTAAGTTCATTGAGATAATCTTGTGGACTTTTTCTTTTATTCTATTACTATGGTACATTAAAACTTAAGGTTTGAGTCTTAAATGTTCCTGAAAAGTCATTTGCTAAAGGCTTAGTTTCAGCTGATGGTACTGTTGAAATGGGGCAGAAACATTTGAAAGTTGGAGCCTAATTAGAGGAAGAAGGTCATGGGGTCATGACTATGAAGAGCTTATTTTGTCCCTGGTCCTTTCCCATCCCTTCTCTACTTCCTGGCTGCCAGGAAGTGAGCAACTCTGCTTCACCATGCTCCCTGCCATGGTGGTCCTGTCTTATCACAGACACAGAAACAATGGAGGCAAGTGACCATGGATTGAATCCTCTCAAATTGTTAGCCAAAATATATCTTTCCTCCTTAAAGTTGGTTTCTGTCAGGTATTTTGTCACACTGACAAAAAGCTGAAGAATGCAATTACATTGATTTTAAATTCTTAACTAAGATTACATTAATGAAGCTTAGATAAACTTCATGATGAATAAGGCTATTTGTATCTTGTTGGATTTGGCTTTCTAGTATTTTGTTGAGATTTTTTTCCATTTGTGTTCATGATGATATTGTTCTGTGGCTTTCTTTTCTTTTGTAATGTCAATTTTGTTTGACAATATTGTATTGGCCTTCTAAAATGATTGGTAAGTGTATTTTTCTGTTTTTGTGAGAGTTTATGCAGTTGGTATTAATTCTTCTTCTAGAGTTTTGTAACATTTATCACTGAAAATCATCTGGTTCAGAGATTTTTTTGTTATTGTTCTTCTGTTTTAAATTATTGCTGATTTATCATCTTGTAGATCTCTTTAGATTTGTTTTTCTTTTGTCACTTTCGGTAGATTACATATTTTAAGAATTTTTCTGTTTCATGTAAGCTGCCTAACTTGTTGGTATGCAGTTGATTGGAATAGTCCTTTATTTTTTTTCCTTCATTCTATAGTAATGTCCTTTATTTTACTGCTAATTTTATTTATTTATTTATTTAGGAGCACCTCTATCTTTTTAAAAAGCATTTTTAAATTTACATGGAGTAAATTTCATTCTTTTTGATATACAGTTCTTGCATTTGGATAAAAGAATAGTCATGTGACCATTAAGACAATCAAGATACAGAATAGTTCCATCACCCCTCCTCTGCCCAAATTCCCTCATTCTGCTTTATCCTTAGTCCCTGGCAATCTGTTCTTTGTTTTTATAGTTTAAAACAAATTGTGATAAAACACACACCACATAAAATTTACCATTTAACCCTTTTTAAGTATACAATTCAATGACATTAAAGACATTCACAATGTTGTGCCACCAGCACTGCTGTTCATTTCCAGAATGTTTACAACATCCAACAGAAACTCTGTACCCATTGAACTATAATGCCCCTCCCCCAAGACCCCAACAACCTCTGTTCTCCTTTCAGTCTCCATGAGTTGACCTCTTCCAGATACTAAACATATGAATTACCCAACATCTGTCCTTTTGTGTCTGGTTTGTTTCACTTAGTATAATACTTTCAAAGTTCATTCATACTGTAGCATGTGCCAGAATTCCCTTCCTTTTAAAGGCTGCATAATATTTTTTAAAAAATATATATATGCTATATATATATGCTGCATTTTGCTTTCCCATTCAGCAGTTGATAGACTTGTGAATGGTTTCTATCTTTTGGTTATTGTGAATAATGCTTCTATGAACATTGACGTACAAGATTTACTGCTAATTTTAGTAATTTGTGTTCTCTTTTTTTTTCTTGATTAGCTTAGTCAACTGTTTCATCTAGGCTTTATTAATGTTCTTTATTGTTTTTCTCTTCTTTATTTATGTTCTAATATTTATTATTTGCATCTTCTGTCTTTAACTTGTTCTTTTTTTGTTCTAGTTTTCTAAGATAAGCTTAGTACTCTTTTTAAAAAAATATAGGCATTTATAGCTATCAACTTTCTTCTCTGGACTGCATACCAGGAGTTTTGTTATCTTGTGTTTTTATTCGTTTCAAATTATTCTTTAATTTCCCTTGAGATTTCCTTTTTAACCTATTAGTTATTTAGAACTTTGTTTATTTCCTTATATATGTGAATTTCCCAGATTTCTCTATTTTATTGATTTCAGTTTTATTCCACTATGGTTGGAGGACATACTTAGCATCATTTTGGTTCTTTTAAATTTATTGAGAGTTGTTTTATGGAGAATGTTTTATAAGCACTTTAAAAAATGTATATTCTGCTCTTGTTGGAGGATTATTCTCTAGATGTCTTGTTAGGTCTATTTAGTTTATAGTGTTGTACAAGTTTTCTATTTCCTCATTGATCTTTTGTCTAGTTGTTTTATCAGTTATTCATAGGTGGGATATTGAAATTTCCAATTATGCTTAAATAAATTATTTCTCCTTTCAACTCTCATTTTGGGCTTCATATATTTTGGACTCTGTTGTTAAATGAATATATTTATAAATATTCTGAATGAGAGTATTTTAATATACTCATTTGTCTCACAAATTTTCAATCTTAATGTCTAATACTAGTGTAGTCATTTCATTTTTTAGATTATTTTTTACATGATATGTACTTTCCACTGAGCTACATGCCCAGCTCTTTATTTCTGCCTTTTCAGTATGAATGGTTTTTATTACTTTTTCTTGCTTTATTGCAACAGCTATGGCCTCCTTATAATGCTGAATAGAAATAGTGAGAGTAGACATCCGTGTCTTTTTCCCATTCTTGGCAGGGGAAGTGGCAATTAATCTTTCACTATTAAGAATGATATCAACTGTAGGACTTTTGTAGGTATGTTTTAATCAGGTAGAAGTGATTGTTTCACTTCTAAGTTTGTTAATATCTAAATCATGTATCAGTGTTGAATTTTTTTTGAAATGCTTATTCTTTATTGAGATGGTCAAATAGTTTTTCTTCTGTAATTTATTGATGTGGTAGATGATACTAATTGATGGTGAATATTCAACTAACTTTACCAGGATAACCACTTAGGTCTTATATCCCTTTTTGAATATTGCTGGATTCATTCTACTAATATTTCATTGAGGATTTCTGCATCTATATTTATAAGCTCAAATTAATCTTTAAGCAAATACTAAGTACCAGGAGGACTTTCACTTCTAGTAAAGGTAAGCTGTATCATATGGAGTAACCCTCCTACTGAAGACAACTAGTAAAGCAGAAAGAATTAAAAAGAAAATAAAAACACAAACTGTTTAGAACACCATAGAGCTATCAGACTGACTTGTCAGATCTCCACACTTAGACTCAGAGGAACATTTGCACGAGCTACTTGAACATTTGCACATGTTAGAACTGTCATTTTAGAAATAAGATTATATTTATGGATATGGCATAAATAGTTTCTTTTCTCCTCTTATTTTTCAAAGGCAGACATAAACGCATTAAACCAAAATCTGCAGGCATTAGTAGAAGAAAATAAGAACCTGGCAGATCAAATAGCTTCTCTGGAACTTCAGCGAGCCACTTCTGAATACCATGGGGTGGGTATGAAAAGGTCAGTCTGAGTTAGAAAATAATGACTAATGAGTTTTTTAAAAATCCAAAGTCAGGAGATAGGTTTTCTCTGGTGTGTGTGTGTGTGTGTGTGTGTGTGCATGTATTAGTAATTATCATAAATCCTGAATAATGGGATAAATATGGGAGACATATCTGCAGTTTTCAAACAATAGAAGATTTAAGAAAGCAAGAATTTAAGGTAGTTACTAAATGACCACCTATACAGATGATGTATAATCTAAAAAGCACAACCATAGCTGATGTTTCAAAATATTTTCTCTCCCATAAATTGAGGAAGAAACTTGTGTTTTCCCCTGTCAGTTTCTTCCATTATGTAATCAGTAATATATCTGTTTTCTAGAGGATATTTGATGATGTTAGTTCATTATAAATAAATGGGTAGAGTTCTTAAAACATCTCTAAGTGGGGGGAATTAAAGAGATGATCATTCTATTAACAAGTTAATAATTTTTCTTATAATAACTTTTGTGTTTTTGAATACTTGAAAAGGGATTAGTTGTTATTTTTATAACATGCAAATCATTTTTGAAAATTTTCATATAAAGTCCTGATATGTGTCTCTTATATGAACTAAATTTTAAGCCTGTCATAAACTGCTGATTACTTCAACTAAGAAGAATTTATATAAACTAAGTAAATTATCTTATATTTTCATGGATTTTAAGCCTAGGTTTCAATTTTGGGCTGTGATCTTTAACCTTCCATGCAGAGAGGGTTAGAATAATTACCACATTGATTAGAAACTAACCTCTTTATGTATCTACTTTCAATCTCTTCTAATAAAAGAACAGAAGTTATCCATCCACGTTTATACTCCTTTCTTCTAGCATAATGCCTAATGCATATTAGGAAACATTGATCAAATGAAGTACAGAGTCAGTCACATATCTGGCCAGGCTGCAAGGATTGTCATCTTGAGTGCTAATTACCCATCATGAGCCCTTACATGTAGTATACATGAATAAATATTATTCTCTCTCCTTTTTCTTTCACATATTCTAATATTAGGTTTATTTTTGCCACTTCAACCTTCAGTGATAATGCAATTTAAGTCCATTACCACAGGCAGTTAAGTAGGCAACTACAGTAAGAAAAAATCCAAATGTGGTAGGAAAGTTACTATTCCTGAACTCAAGTTGAATGATTGTTCCCTACTTCTCTTTTGCATTTTAACCACACATTGTTAAATAGTAGCACCAAATAGAAATACAGTTCCCTATGCAATAGAACTTTAATGATTTGAAATTCAACTGTATCAAAGTTGGTTCAATCTGCTGCTGAGGCCTATGTCATATTTTCACTAAAATTCTTGCTTAAATTCTACTTATAAAGTTACTTTATATGCCAATATCTCATTCATTTTATATATTCTTTCTCTGCTAACTTTTTTATAGTTCAAAAAATTATTTTAGGGCTGGGATGGCTCTGTGGTAGAACACCTGCCTAGCATGTATAAGGTTTTGGATTTGATCCCCAAGACCACAAAAAGAAAAAATACACACACACACACACACACACACACACACACACACATACATATTTTTAGAAAGTGTTTTGTGACTTACTCTTTGTGTTAGCTTTCCATCACTATGACAAAATACTTGAGATAATCAACTTAAAGGAGAAAAAAATTATTTTGGATCACCATTTTAGAGATTTTAGTCCATGGTTAGTTGGCTTATTGCTTTGGGTCTGTAGCAAGGCAGTACATATGGCAGAAGAGTTGCTTACCTCTTCATGGCTGGAAAACAAAAAGAGACAGGAAGGGCCATGTTCACAGTAGCCCCTTCATTGGGCACACTCACAGTGACCTATCTTCCCTCCACTAGCTCCTACCTCCTAAAGGTTCCACCACTTCCCATTAATGCCACTAGCTGGTGACCAAGCCTTCAACACATGGGCCTTTGGGGAGCATTCCAGATCATCCAAACCATAGCACTGTGGATCCATGATAACCTACCTTTCATATCTTATGATAATTGTTCTGTGGTTGTTCCTGCAATATCCTTGTGTTTCTGAATTGAAAGATATAATCTAAACATTGGACATTTTTCTTTGTACAACTCAGAATCCAAGGTGTTCACTCATTAAGTAGTTTCTAATTTCCAGTCTCTGATTGATTAAAGTACAGGGCCTATTTAAACAACCTGTAAACAATACGTAAGTGCCTTAGCAACTGGTAACAATTCTCTTTGTCATGATTTTAAATAAGTGACCCTGTGTCAAATGTTGTTACATTTTGACATTATTTAGTCTTTACTTATTATGTTGGCATTCTCTTCGGGGGCAAAAAGGGGAAATAATTATCTTTAAAGTGTATTTAAATATTAATAGAATTTCTCTATCCCTTTGCATAAAAGGGAATTTTATTGAGGGGGAAAAAAGTGCCATGCTTAAAAACTTCCTGGACCCCTTTTACAGGAGACCAAGATCATCTATATTATTAAAACAAAACAACCCCCCCCCAAAAAACTTTCCACATTCCAAGAAGATAAATGAAGTTATTTTGAATGTTTTATATTTGTTATAGCAATCATATTTTAGGTTGGATCTAGTTCTTATTTTTTAATATGCTGTATACTTTATAGCACATTGGGAAAACTTAATTTATAGAACTTGAAACTGACTTTTAAATAATTAAGTTTTTTTGTTGTAGTTTTATTTTTGTAACATATTGACCTCATAACTTATTTGTGACTGAAGAGTTGGTCAAAATATAATCCTAAACTATGTTTCATTTATGGAATGATTTTTGGATCATAGTTTCCAAAATAGAAAAAGGGGCTGTATATCTTCCACAAACAGAATGTTAGTTAATGACTAGCTAATTTTATGATATTATTAATAACACATTTCATTTCCCTTAGGTTATTTTTAATTTTTTTTTAGTTGTAAATGAACACAATGTCTTTATTTATTTATTTGTATGTGGTGCTCAAGATCGAACCCAGTGCCTCACACATGCCAGGCCAGTGCTCTATCATTGAGCCACAACCCCAGTCCATCCCTTAGATTATTTTGAAACCAATATTTTAGTTGTCTCATTGCTTTTAGAAAAATACTTTCATTTAGTGGGAGCAACACATAGATTTTTTTTTTAATTTTTGAAAAGAAATTATAGCAAGCCATAGTGGCATACACCTGTAGTTCCAGCAAGTGAGGAGGCTGAGGCAGGAGGATTACAAATCCTAGGACAGTCTGGGCAACTTAGTGAGATCCTGTCTCAAAATAAAAAATTAAAGGGGCTGGGAATGTAACTTAGTGGTAGAGTACCCCCGGTGGTAGAGTACCTGCAACCACTGATTTAACCACACCATATCTGGCTTGGATCACAGCTAAGAAATAACTAACATAGCAAAATAACAACAACAGCAAACTCTGGGACTCTTAAAGCTCTATACTTTAATCAGCAAGTTTCCTTGTGTGTTGCTTGTTAGCACTGAGACCACTTATCTAGGGAGAGACTAGAAGGCAGCAATAACAAATAAATAAAAAAATCTTGATCTTAATACTATGGAAGTAGTAAGGGTACTAGTACTTTTTTTTTCCCCAAAAGAAAATGCTTATTCCTTTCTATGCCAAGAAGTACTGATACCTGTGTTTGCATTATCAGCTTGCTGAGCAAAAGGTGGAAAATGTCTTGGGAAAAATTACTGAGAGTAAAAATAAACTGGCCTATGAAAAGGGAAAACTCCAGGTATGAGATTTATTTTCATATTTTATATGATTTTTAAAGATACTAATTGTAAAACTAAATATTGCTGGATTTTTAGAAGACCTACCCTATTGTTTACTAATTCTGTAGTCTTTGAACCTCCCTGTTTGTGGCTTCCTTAATATCCAAATGACTTCTGTTCATATTCAATTCACATAATACTGAAGCCTAATGTAGTGACAATCTTTACAAATGTTGTGATGATTTGAAGACTTACTGTAGTTATTTTATGCCTCCTCACTCACTGAAAATATAGAGGTCCTATGCTTTCTTTTTTTCATGAATTTTTATAAACCATCTAAAAAGAAATAACTCTGACAATTGGGCCTCAGAGACAACAGAATAGACTTAAGTGAAAGTGATGATACTGTTCTTTTTCTGATTGTGCATTTTACCCCCATGGCATCTACCTATTGAGGAACAGCTTTGCACATTTTAGAGCCAGGGGCAGTTCAACACAGCAAGGAATTGGCACAGGGTGCTTTCTGATTGGTGGGTAATGATCATGAGGGTCAGCAGGGCTCACCATTGGGCGGCTCTTCCTGCCGCTATCTCAAGGCATGGGGAAGTTAGTACTGGAAGAGAAGCATGGCCGGCGCCATCTTTGGAGCAAAAGCTTGCTACAGATGTGACTAAGCCTGTCTTTAGCCTACTGCAGTGGAAACACCAATGTCTACATCAGTGGTTCTAAGCCTAGTACACATCATCACCACCTAGGGAGAGTTTAAGATGTCTGAACTCTGGAACGTGCATCATATTTGCCACTTTTTAAAAAATGCATCCTAGGGAAAAAAATACATTAATGGATTGATAGGGAGAATGATAGATGGATAGATACGTGATAAGTAAAAACAAAAAATAATGGTTGAATTTGGTTGGTGGACCCTAGAGCATGCTCTTAGTAAAATTCTGCCAAATTTTCTGTATGTTCAGTTTTTTCTTAGTAAAATATAAGAATGAAAAATCCCCATGTCTAGAATTCCAACCCAGAGCAACGAAGACAGAATTTTAGGGGCTAGTCTAAACTCTGATACTGTTTAAAGCTCCCCAGATGCTGATATGATGAATTCTTCTAAATATCTCATGTACTCATATCCAAAAGATTATCTAAATTAGTGGTCATATAGTATCTTAAGATTTACTGGATTGTGTCAAATTTCTCCTAAAAGTAGTTATGCCAGTTTTAAAAGCAGTGTATATACAGATATATTAAACAGGTGCATTAGAGTTACATATGTTAACATGGATGAATCTCATACTATATTACTATTTAGAGATACATATATAGTAAGATTTTAAACTGAGAATGATGAATACCAAATCCAAATCCAGCATTGTAATTAACTCTAAGATGAGGGGGAGATTGGGTTAGAATGGGTGCTACAGGATTGGTGTTTTTTTTTTTTTTTTTTTTTTTTTTGTGTGTGTGTGTGTGTGTCAGGGGAGATATTAGGATAAAACCTAGGGCCTGAAGTCAGGCAAGTGTTCTACCACTGAGCTACACACCCAGTCCATAGGTTTCAATTGATCTGGTAATATTTTATTTTAATTTGAATGGTGGGTAGATGGGATATTGTCATATATTTCTGAAAGAGTTCCAACACTTTATAAAATTATTTTTAAATGTGCCAGTTTGAGTCACTTAGCCTTGCAATAATCTGCCATTGGTTGCATCACTTACATCAACACCTGGATTTAAACATGTTAGCAGACTGGCCCCTGTAAGCAACTGCAATTGTGAACTTAATTTACAGATGAGATAAGGGTTTGTTTTATGTTTTAGTAAACTTTTTCTTGAACTATAATATATATACTGAAAAGAACATGGGACACAGCCTGATGAACTTTTTACAAATTAAAATTAGTACTCAGATCAAGAAACGGCACATTCCCAACATCCAGAACCTTCTTCCAATAACTATCCCCAACATGGGTAATTACCATCCTGACTTCCAACACCTCAGATTAATTCTACCTATACTTTCACTTCACATAATCACACAATACATACTTTTTAATGTCCTGCTTCTTTAACCCAACATTTCAGTAGTGAGTTTTATTATTCATATTTGTCGTGCTGGTTCTTTGTTTCGCATTGCTGCATGCATGTTGTACCATTATACGAATATTAGATAAAGGCCTTAAAAGAAAAAAAATATGCTATGCTGAAATTATCAGTTCTTAAGTCTATTTTCATACATTTATTAAAATGTATAATTTTGACCATTCCTGTTGTTTTAATCTATTATGTCCCGGCATTCCATATATAGGGCCCTGTATAAAAACTACATATAGAATGATGGGACATAATGGGTTAATGCTGAAGCTCATTTCAAACTATAAATAAGCTAAGGCTATTGGTATGTCCTACAGTATTTCAAATTTACAGTATATATTGAAGGGAAAAAACCTAGGAATTTTAATTGTATTATTTTAGAATATTTGCATTATAAACAGACTAAAGAAGAGTTCTTTTCCATTTTTTTTCTATTTTTTTTAGTTTTATTGATTTTATTTTTTTAAATACACGACAGTGGGATGCATTACAATTCTTATTACATGTATAGAGTACAATTTTTCATATCTTTGTATATAGAATATGTTCACGCCAATTCATGCCTTTATACATGTACTTTTTTGCATTACAATTCTTATTATACAAATATATCACAATTTTTCATGTCCCTGTTTATATATAAAGTATGTTGACACCCAATTTGATTCTTCATACATGTACTTTGGATAATGTCACATTCCACCATTCTTGCTGATTCCCTGCCCCCTCCCTTCCCCTCCCACCCCTCTTCCCTATCTAGAATTCATCTAATCCTTCCATGCTCCCCCTCCCTACTCCACTATGAGTCAGCCTCCTTATATCAGAGAAAACATTCAGCATTTGTTTTTTGGGGATTGGCTAACTTCACTTAGCATTGTCTTCTCCAACACCATCCAGTTAGCTGCAAATGCCATGATTTTATTCTCTTTTATTGCTGAGTAAAATTCTATTGTGTTTATATACCACATTATTTTATCCATTCATCCACTGAAGGGCATCTAGTTTAGTGCCACAATTTAGCTATTGTGAATTGTACTGCTATAAACATTGATGTGGCTGTGTCCCTGTAGTATGCTGATTTTAAGTCCTTTGGGTATAGTCCAAGAAGAGCGATAGCTGGGTCAAATGGTAGTTCCATTCCCAATTTTCCAAGGAATCTCAATACTGCTTTCCATATTGGCTGTACCAATTTGCAGTCCCACCAGCAATGTATGAGTGTACCATTTTCCCCACATCCTTGCCAACACTTATTGTTGTTTGTCTTCATAATAGCTGCCACTCTGACTGGAGTGAGATGATATCTTAGAGTAGTTTTGACTTGCATTTCTCTGATTGCTAGAGATGATGAGCATTTTTTCATATATTTGTTGATTGATTGTATATCCTCTTCTGAGAAATGTCTGTTCAGGTCCTTGGCCCATTTATTGATCAGGTTATTTGTTCTTTTGGTGTTTATTTTTTTGAGTTCTTTATATACCCTATTAGTTCTTCTTTAAAGGTCTTGTAGAATTTGGCTGTGTATCTATCCAGTCCTGGGCTTTTCTTGGTTGATAGCCTTCTGATGGCATCTTCTATTTCATCACTTAATTGGTCTGTCTAAATTGTGTATATCATCCTGACATCAGATACAGCACTAATCTCTAGGGTATATAAAGAACTATCTGATGTGTGAGGGGTAAAAATTTGCTCCCAGGATGTGGGCTCTCTCTTTACCTCACAGATTGCTTCTTTTGCTGAGAAGAAACTTTTTAGTTTGGTTCCATCCCATTTATTGATTCTTGGTTTTAATTCTTAAGCTATAGGAGTCATATTAAGGAAGTTGATGCCTAATCCCACATGACGAAAATTAGGGCCTACTTTTTTTTCTATTAGATGCAGAGTCTCTGGTTTAATTCCTAGGTCCTTGATTTATTTTGAGTTTCGTTTTGTGCATGGTGAGAAATAGGGGTTTAATTTCATTTTGTTGCATATGGATTTCCAGTTTTTCCAACACCATTTGTTGAAGAGGCTATCGTTTCTCCAATGCATGTTTTTGGCAACTTTGTCTAATATAAAATAATTGTAATTGTGTGGGTTAGTCTCTGTGTCCTCTATTCTGTACCATTGGTCTACCAGTCTTAGTCTTGGTCTACCAATACCATGCTGTTTTTGTTACTATTGCTCTGTAGTATAGTTTAAGGTCTGATATAGCGATGCCACCTGCTTAACTCTTCTTGCTAAGGATTGCTTTAGCCATTCTGGGTCTCTTATTTTTCAGATGAATTTCATGATTGCTTTTTCTAATTCTATGAGGAGTGCCATTGGAATTTTGATCGGAATTGCATTAAATCTGTATAGTGCTTTTGGTAGTATGGTCATTTTGGTAATATTAATTCTGTCTATCCAAAAGCAAGATAGATCTTTCAATCTTCTAAGGTCTTCTTTGATTTCTGTCTTTAGGGTTTGTTAGCTTTCATTGTATAGCTCTTTCACCTCTTTCATTAAGTTGTTTCCCAAATCTTTTTATTTTTTTGAGGCTATTGTGAATGGGGTAGTTTTCCTCATTTCCTTCTCAAAGACTTTGTCACTGATACATAGAAATGCCTTTGATTTATGGGTGTTGATTTTATATCCTACTACTTTGCTGAATTAATTTACTAGTTCTAGAAGTGTTCTGGTGGAATTTTTTGGGTCTTCTAGGTATAGAATCATATCATCAGCAAATAGTGCTGATTTAAGTTCTTCTTTTTCTGTACATATCCCTTTGAATTCTTTCGTCTAATTGCTTTGGCCAGTGTTTTAAGAACTATGTTAAATAGAAGTGGTGAAAAAGGGCATCCCTATCTTGTTCCAGTTTTTAGAGGGAATGCCTTCAATTTTTCTCCATTTAGAATGATGGTGGTCTTAGGCTTAGCGTAGATAGCCATTACAATGTTGAGATATGTTC